TACCTTTAATTGTAGTAAACCCCAAACCCAACTCACTACCATCAAGTCCATTTTGATTCAAAGCAATCCTGTAAAGGTTTTCCAATGCTGCAAGTGTCTATGGGAGTATGCAGATCATTTGTGCCAATCAGGCCCCTTTAGTAGGACAAAGGTACTTCAAAAAAATTAAGCCAACCCTGCTTAAACAATTCAGCTCTATAAAGAGTGGGGAAGCAATGGGGTGGGCATATCCTGTAGACTAAGGTTCTCAGGATCTCCCACAATCTGTTTCTCTGACCACCTTCATGCCTTTCTTCTTTCCATTAAGAAGGGATTTTACATTTCACTAAGTGACTGCTCTTTGAATTCTACATTGAAGTAGGCATACTTCTTATTCACTGACTCATCTCATAAATATATACATGAGTTACAGAGTATTAGGCAAATACATTTTATTATTGATTTTAAAGATTTGTAATGCAGATTTATTTAAGCCTTTTTAGTTTCTACCATGTTAACTGTGCTGAGTTGGTACAAAGCTAATAAAAGGTACTTTTTCAAGATGGGACAATTTAAGATATTCCTCTGAGGCAACCTGGAAATAAGAAGATTGAGTTTTCTTCTGTAATTGATCATCTTTCATTATATAGATATATATATATATACACACACATACACACACCAGTAGCTACTTGGAAATCCTATACATGGTTGCTATGTGTCAGAATCGACTCAACGGCACTTAACTACAACTATATATGGTGGTGGTTGTGTGCCATCAAGTTTGTTCTGACTCATAGTGACCCTGTGTAGGGTTTCATATAAATGGAATGCTGGTGTGGTATTGATAACCAAAAGGTCAGCAATTCAAATCCACCAGTCACTCCTCAAAAACCCTATACAGGGTCACTATGAGTTGATACTGATTCCACAGTATCAACAACAACAGCAAATACACACACATATATATATAAAGAAAAATGATCAATAACAAAAAAAAATTATATTTATATGTAACTCTTACAGTTGGCCAAGATCATTTTAGGATCTGTTTCATCTGAGAATAAAATTTATGGTTCAGTTAAAAGACCCTGAAAAATGAGTTTTTAAAGGAAATGCTGGCAGTGTTTCTTCTTCTGGATTAGGATTATAATTACTATGAAAAAAGAGAGAGAGAGATCCTGAGGGAGGTGTGGAGGGTGGTCATGCTTATCAATGAAGGCCTGCTCCCAAGTTGAGCAACTTGGATGTGAAACAGGAAATTAACAATGCCTAAGATATTTTCTTTCCTTCAGATTTGCTTCAGGTCCCTGTGCATGACAAAACCAAAGAAGCAAAAAAAAAAAAAAAATACAATTTTTCTCCAGTGAATGTTCTGTGCAAAAGTTAGAACTCAGGAAAAAGGAGGGAGGACTCGACAAGAAGACGGGGAGATGCATTTGGGAGGTGCCTTGGCTGTAACCTTCTTTGTAAGGTATAGGCTAGAAGGATAAGCCCTACTAGAGACTTATGTGCCTTGGGAAAATGCACAAACCCAGAGATACCTTGGAAGAAAGGTTTGTCAATCTACTTGCCAAAACCCATCCATTGAAAGCATACAAGTTGGGGCTGACTTGATGGCAACTAGTTTCTACTTACTCAAAATTGGAAGGTAGAAGACGACCAGTGCAAAGCTCAGGATACAAATCACCTAACCACTGGGGTGTGAGGGAGGAGGTGGCGGGCAGGGAGGTGAACTGGATGAGTAGATATCCTGGGCTCATGGAGTTTGCATTCTCTGAAGCTAACAAGCATGGGCTGTGAAACTAACTCCTCCTTATTCAAAAGATACCTGGGTGACAAGGTTGGGGGAGCCCAAACTTCAAAATGACCCCCAAAAGACATACTGTTGAAAAAACATAAGCCAATAAAAGCAACAAGAGATGGCAAAGGCCATAGAGGCAGTAAAAGGATCCTCCACAACCAGCCTCACAGGGGAGGCTGTGGAGAAGCGAGGCCCCTAAATCACTAGTGAACCTCTTATTCCATCTGGTCCTACTGTCAGCCCAGGAGAATATGTTTCCTAAGAAGCGTTGTTTGTTTTAACTTGTCTGTAATTCTGTTTCTACTCCAGTTCTTACCACATTCAACAAAAACAATTTGCTCACTCAGTCATGAGGAAAAGTGAAAAAACACACTTGACAAGCGCATTTCATGTTGTCAGGAGATGATCCCAAGCCAACAGCTGGGATGAGGGTGGTAGAGCAAGGGAGGCAGGGAAATCGGATGAGAGGGAGGATGGAGAAACTCAGGTGACACTCACCAGGGGAGGACCCCACACCAGCTGCTCGGAACTGCCCCAGGATGAGGCTCTGCTCGCTCTCAGCCAGCGCCAGGAGGAGTTCATAGGCTTCTATGCACTGCTCGCTGAAATATAAACACAGGAGCCTCAGCTCTGGCAGGAATAAGGAGCATCTTCAGTGCCAGTAGCATTGCCTGGGTAGGAGTCAGCTCTGGATCTGCCTCTCAGTCTCAGTAGCCACATAAATGAAGAAACCACCCACGAATACCTCTGGAAAAAGCCAATGGGCTTGTTCTGCTATATTGGCCATCTCTCCCTCCTCCCCGTTTTCTTTCTTTCATAATTTACATTGTTGCTGTTAGTTGCTGGTAAGTTGATTCCAAACTCATGGCAACCTCATGTTTGCAGAGTAGCACAGCTCCAAAGTGCTTTCCAGGTTGTGACCTTTTGGAAGTGGATCTCCAAGTCTGCGTCCAAAATGCCTTTAGGGTCTGAACCACCAACTTTTCCGCTAGTAGTTGAGAGCTTATCTGTTTGTACCACTCAGGGACTCCTTTACAGGAAAGGAGTTAGGATACAGGAAAGTTAAAAGAGAAGCAATAAACTTGGGAGAGGAAGTTTAATGTCCTACCGATGATCAGCTAAAAGAACTGTGATATATTTGTGGTTGCTAGCCTGAGTTTCCATTCCTCTTGAATTGACATGCCCGGCTGCTAACCAAGAAGTTCGGCGTTCCAGTCTACCCAGAGGCATTTGAGAAGAAAGGCTTGGTGATCTACTTGTGGGAAAAGCAGGAACTGAAAACCAAATATAGTTCTATTCTGACACACATGAGGTTGCTATGAGTCAGAGTTGACTTGATGGCAGTTGGTAGCCAACCTCCAAGAGATGGCCCTCAATGGTCTCATCTTCTGACAACCACATTCTTGTATAGTCTCCTTCCACACAATATCAGGGCTGAGCTGTGTGACCTGTAGAATATGGCAGGAGTGATGCTATGTCACTTCCAAGACGAAGTTATTGAAAAACACTGTGTCTTCCATCTTGGTTTCTCACTTACTGCACTTTCTCTCTTAGATCACTTGCTCTCAGGGAAGCCAGCAGACATGTCTTAAAGACATTTAAAAAACCCTATGGAGAGCCCTAAGTGGTGAAGAACTAAGACTTCCAGCCAACATACATGAAAGAGTTGAGGGGCGCAGCCAAAAGCCATGTGAAGGAGCCTTTTTAGAGGCAGAGCTTCCAGATGATGCAGCTCTGACAACAGCTACATGGAACCACATGAGACTCTAAGCCAGAACTGCCCAGCTAAGCTACTTCCAAATTCCTGACCCTCAATAACTACAGTATCAAATATTATAAGTCATTGATCACACAACAATATATAATGCCTCATATGGAAGATTATTTTGTTCCAGACTTGCACTGTTCAATACATTAGCCACTAGTCATGTTGTTGTTGTTAAGTGCTGTGGAGTTGGTTCCAACTCATAGTGACCCTGTACAGCAGAGGTGGGGAACCTTTCTTTCTGCCAAGGATCATTTGGATATTTATAGCATCATTCATGGACCATACAGAAGTACCAACTTAAAAATTAGCCTGCTATATTTGGTGAAACATGTAATTTGCTCTGGTAGCGTAGTAGTGGTTACGAATCGGGCTGCAAACCTCAGGGTCAGCAGTTCGAAACTACCAGCTGTTCCGCGGGAGAAAGATGAGGCTTTTTGTTTCCGTAAATATTTACGGCCTTGGAAACCTTGTGCAGGGTCGCTATGAGTCGGAACAGACTCCACAGCACATAACAACAACAACAAAAGAGCTCTGGTAGCGTAGTGGTTACAAGTTGGGCTGCTAACCTCAAGGTCAGCTAGTTCAAAACATCTGTGGGAGAAAGATGAGGCTTTGTCCTCCCATCAAGATTTACAGCCTCAGAAACCCTATACAGGGTCGCTATGAGTCGGAATCGACTCCACGGCATGCCACCACCACCACCACCACCAATGTGATGGCTGGAACTGTGGTTGTCTTGACAGGGCCAGACCAAATGATTTTGCGGGCCTTATAACTGAATGATTTCACAGATTTTCCCCACCCTTGCTCCACAGGGTTTCCAAAGAACAGCTGGTGGGTTGGAACCACCGATCTTATGGTTAGCAGTCCAGTGCTTATCCAACTGCACCACAACAGGACTCTACTAGCTATTAAATAGCTATGGTTATTTAAATGAAAACATTTTTAAGTTCCATAAAATGGCAAATTCCTCAATTGTAGTAGGCATATTTCAAATATTTAATAGCTACATGTGGCTAATGGTTACCATATTGGGCAGCACAGATATAGATGGTTACTTCATTACAAAAAGTTCTATTAGATGCTGTAAAGTTGTCTCATAAAATATTCACAGGTTTTTACAAAATCTATGGCAAGAATTTGACTTTGGATTTCTAAGAGAAAAACAAAAAGCATCTCTTCTTAATGTCCATAATCCATTGTGCAAACCAGGTAAAGCATGAAAGAAGGGCTCCTTCCTATCACTGTCTAAGACCCACACAGGAGGTATATAGCATGTGCATAACACCTGTGTGCTCCCAAGCAAGATACTTGCAGTAGCAAAACTGCCCTGTTAAGCAAATAATGGGGTGGACTCCAAGGTGAGCAGGGGAAATGCTGCTTTAGTCAACATTTAGTTGACAGACCATCTGTTTTTGATCATTCTTTTCTTCCAGCTTCTTTTACTGAGCATGAAGGAAAGGGCCCAATGACTGCTCCTGGTACTGGTAGCACCACCTTTCAAGGACAGTATTATTCTAAGGTTGGAGATGTTAGGACATTTCTTCATCTGTGAGGATGTGTGACTGTGAAGAAAGACTCTGATGAAAGGTAGACTGTGGGCACAGAACAGTCAGTTTCAAGAGTTACCAAAGATGGGTCATCTGTTTGTTTGTTTTGGTGTGTTTGTAAACTAGTGTGATTGCACT